AACCGGCGCTGCATAGGCTGCTGGCAGCTTCGCAACCCAGTGCTCAACCGCTGCGCCACCGGGGAGGCCCAAGGCTACTGATTTTTGTATGTTGATTTTTTATCCTGCCACTTTACCGATAAACTATCCATTTATTTAGACTTTTTTCATCAGTTTTTATGTTTTCCTCATATAGATCTTGTGCGTATTTTATCAGATTTATATATAAATCTCTTTTTCTAGGTGCTGTTTTTATAAATAAAACTGTTTTTATTCAAATTCCAATTGTACATTGTACAATTATGTAGGAAAGCAATTAACTTTTATGTTGTAACCTTTAGATCCTACAACCTTGTTGTAATTTCTTATTCCTTCTAGTAGGGTGTTTTTTTTTAATTGATTCTTTGAGATTTTTCTGTGTGTAATCATGTTGTTAGTATGGGAAAAGTTTTGCTTCGTCCTTTCCCATTTATATGCCTTTAATTTTATTTTCTAATTGCAATGTGAAATGGGAGTGGTGAGAGAGGGACATCCTTGTCTTGTTCCTGGTTTTAATGGGGAAGCATCTAGTTTCTCACCATTAAGTATGATGTTCATTGTAGGGTTTTTTATATATGTTCTTTACTGGATTAAGGAAGTTTCTCTCTATTCCTAGTTTGTTAAGATTTATTATGAATAATGTGTGGGGTTTTTGTCAAATGCTTTTCTGCATCTATCACTATGATCATATGATTTTTCATTTTAGCCTCTTGATGTGATGGCTTACATTACAAATGGTCCCCAACTTATAATGGTTTGATTTATAATTTTTTGATTTAATGATGGTATAAAAGCAATATACAGTCGTCGAAACCATTACATGATACTCTGTCCTGATGCTGGGCAGCAGCAGTGAGTTGCAGCTGCCAGTCAGCATTTTTGATTTACAATATTTTCAATTTATGATGGGTTTTTCTGCTTGTAACTCAGCTGTAAGTCAAGGAAGATTCGTAATTGATCTTTGAGTGTTAAACCAGTTTTGCATGCCTGCAATAATTAGTCATGGTGTATAATTTTGTTATAAATTGTTGTGTTCAATTTACTAATATTTTATTTGAGGATTTTTGTGTCTCTGTTCATGAAAGAAACTGGTCTTTGGTTTTCCCTTCTGATATGTTTTGGCATTAACGTAATACTGGTCTCATAAATGAGTTAGGGAGTATTCCCTCTATTTTTATTTTTTGGAAGGAAGTGTAGAAAGTTAGTATAATTTCTTTATCAAACCTTTGGTAGAATTCACCAGTAACCTTATGACCTGATGCAGTTTTTGAAGGTTATTAATTATTGATTCCTTTTCTTTAATAAAAGTAGATCTATTGGAGGGGCCTCCCTGGGGGCGCAAGGGGTTAAGATGCAATCTATGAAGCTATCCATAGCCACTGCAGCATGAGTTTGCTCCCGGCCAGGGAGCTAAGCACATGGCACGGAAGACCTCTCCTGGCTCGCCCGCTGATCCCCTCAGCAGTGTATTTCAGTCATTCTGCCTGTTCTGCTCCTCACTCTGTCTCTGGTGAATCCTGTCATCCTCCGCACCTCTGACCTGTACCCCAGTTCTTGTATGAATAAATAAATCTTTTAAAAAATGTAGACCTAATAAGATTGTCTATTTCTTTTTGTTTACATTTTGGCAGATTTTGGCAGTTTTTTCAAGGAAGTGGTCCATTTCATCTAGGTTATCAAATTTGTGGATATAGAATTGTTTGTAATCTTTTTTTTTAATACTGTAGAATCTTTATTATCCTTTTACTGTACATGGTGATCTCCCTTTTTTCATTTCTGATACTAGGAATTTATCAATTTTATTGCTCTGTTCAAAGAATCAACTTTTGGTTTTGTTGATTTTTCTCTTTCAATTTTATTTATTTTCTTTCTCATTTCCATTACTTCTTTACTTGAGCTTCTTTTTGCATTTAACTTTCTAGTTCCTGAGGCAGAAACTTAAACTATTGATCTTAAATTATTAAATCTTCTTTTTTTCAGTGCTATAATTTTTGCTCCCCACACTAGGTTTTTTTTTTTTTTTTTTTTTTAAAGATTTATTTATACAAGCACTGGGTACAGTCAGAAGCGCGGGAGGGTGAGAGAATTCACCAGAGCCAGAGTGGGGAACAGAACAGCCAGACTGATGAAATACACTGCTGAGGGGAGCAGCGGGCGGCAGGAGAGGTCTGCGCGCCATGTGGGACCCTGGCCGGTGGCCGGGATCGAACCGGCACTTCAGAGGCTGCGGGCAGCTTCGCAGCCCAGCACTCAACCGCTGCGCCACTAGGGGAGGCCCCTCCCCACACTGTTTTGATACACACTTTGATAGGGTGCACTTTCATTTTCATTCAGTTAGAAGTATTTAATAAAATTTTCCTGTGCTTACTTCTTTGACCCATATGTTAGAGTATGTCATTTAATCTCAAAGTATTCTACATTTTCCAGTTATCCTTCTGTTATTAATTTCTAGTTTAATTCCATTTTAATCTGCGAGCACACTTACTGTGATTACTACTCTTAAATTTATTAGGATGTGTTTTATGGCCCAGAATGTGGTCTGTTTCAGTGAATGTTCTGTGTGAATTTGAGAAGAATGTGTTTTGTTGTTGAATGAAGTGTTCTATAAATGGCAATCTGATCTATTTGGATGAAGGTGCTGTGTAGTTCCACTAAGTACTTAGTGATTTTCTGCTTTCTTAATCTGTCCGTTACTTCAACGATAACAGTGAGTTTATCTGTTTTTCCTTGCTATTTTGTCTATTAATGGAGCATCATAAATGCATGAAATCACTTGTACCTTTCAGAATTTGGTATGTTTAAAGATAATGATAGTATAACCTTAGGCTAAAGGTAAATGTATTTGAATGTCTTTTAATCTTACGTAAGTCAAATTCTTAGTCTCACTGTTCATTTTTTGTTGTTGTGTTTTTCTCAAATATAGAGCCATTACATTTTTCTTTACTTCATAGTCTTCTTTCAAATTAGATACCTTAGATTCTTGTTTTGAAAGTAATTGCTAGTTTGCTTGTTGGTTTTGGGTAACTTCATGTATTCAGTTTCTCGAATGCCCATACTGAAAGGTCTAAAATGGGGATGATCCTTAACCTTGGAACGGAGAGGCCAATTACTGTAAAAGTTGTTAGGTTTAACACGCCATTTTATATTTAACCTTAAAAGGTCCAGAACTATTATTTTTATTGGTATTTTTCAGTTTAAAAAGTATTTTCTTGACCAGGAAGTTATTACTATACTTCCTTCATTCTGCAATGCACAAGTTTCATTTTATAACATATCTGAAATAAAAATGCTTTTTATAATGGTATGCTGTAATTATATGGAGGGTTTTTCCTTATTGGTACATAAAAGAATAGTTTATTTTGCTAATCTGTGGAGTGTAAAATTCAAGAAAAATCCTGTAATACTAATTTTACAGATGAATAAACTGCAGCTCACAGCACAAAATGGTCCAGAGTCACATTGTCAGCTGAAAGTAGGCTTTTGTTATCAAGTTCATTTTATTCCCCAAGGTAGTACTGATTCTTGACCTTTAAGCTTGTAAAAATTGTCTGGGAAGATATGTGTGCGCCCATCCTCTACAAATTTATGTCTAGGGTGGGTATCAGAAATACACATTGTTTCCTGCATTTCTTAAATAGGCCAAGGAGCACAGTTTTGAGGAGTCCTGCATTACAGCTTTAAGTATGCACTCAAACTCTTGACTTGCTGACGGAAGCTCTGGTTGACACATTACCATCCTTAGGTGCCTTTCAAGTATTTGTTAGTAATGAGGATAGTACTTGATATTTTTAATTAGTCTAGGAAGCCCCAGAACAAAGTTATAGGGTGGCACAATCCCATAAGGGGGCCCTGGCAGACACTAATAATCTGTCACTGAGCTCTGGGCTGCAACTTTCAATGAAACACATATAAAGCCTATTTACTGCCCTCTATGCTGTGCCTTTAAATCAGTATGTGTGAATTTAATGGAAAACTTTCCAACATTTTTTGGTACTGTTGACTCCTTATAAATGTCACAGACTGCTGCCTTTGCACTTTAGATTCGCTGTACCGCATTTGTCTAAAGGTAAGAGCTGGTTGCTGTTGTAAAGGTTCCTCTTTTTTCATGTTGCATTAATAGATCTTTTGTTGATATTATTGCCTTAGTTACTTCTGCTGGTTTGTGTGGTCAACTATTATGTAAAGCTTGAAGTAGAATTTAATAATATTGGTAAGATTTGATTGAGTTTTTTGGGGGGGAGTTTCATGCATTTCAAATCTTATTCACCTTATTAATTAGCTTGGAAATTGGTTTGCTCTTTGATATAGCAATAGTTCTTAGCAGGTAAGGAAATGTTAATTTGGGTAGTCTAGGGTGGACACCTTTTTTTCCTTAATTTATTATACTTCTTTTTCATCCAGAAAATTATTTTACATAATTCTTGACTTACCTCTTCCATGAAACTTTCTATATAAAAAACAACTACAGCTGCATTCTCACATTATTAATCCCTCATTACACTTGATTTTTCAGAATTTATTTTTGGACATTTTTTTATTGTATTATCTTGATATTTATATTTGTCAAGGGATAATTTTGGAATTACTGATTTATCATTAAACATTAAATTTCAAGTGACAGAATGTCATCAAATAGATATTCATGTGGCTGAAAAACAAATCCAGATATTGAAGTGGTAACTTTAAAGAAATAAGCCGCAATCCCTGTTTTTTTTTTTTTCCTTCAGTTACTTAGAATTGGCTCATTTGAAAATGTATCACTGTCTACATTAGCTTCCTGGAGGTTTGAGGATTGGGAGAGTCAACCTTTTGAGAACCCTATTTTAGAATAAAATCTTAAAATTGCTCTTTGAGTCATATAACCTAAACAATAATGTTGCTTGCTTAAATTTATGCACCTTTCACAATGGACGTGATTTAAATATGTGGGAAATTGTTTTAAAACTTGAATCTTCATTTAATCTTCAGACTTCTTCCCACAGGCCATTTTGCAACCCGTGTTGGCAGCAGAAGACTTTACTATCTTTAAGGCAATGATGGTTCAGAAAAACATTGAAATGCAGCTGCAAGCCATTCGAATAATTCAAGAGAGAAATGGTAAAACATTCAGTTTAGAAATCTAAGTGCTAATTGCATTTTTTTTTCCAGTTTTGATGATTCTCATTCTAATACAGTTTTAAATGTAAATTTATTTCAAGTTTGAAAGTCTCTGACTGACTTAAGAGATTCTGGAGTATAAACTTCCCAACAATGTGTGTGTGACATCTCAAAGAAAACAGACCAGAATAGATTTAATGATGTGTTAGGTTTCAGAGAGCTTGATTTTCTGCCTAGCCATTGTTTGTGAAATTCAGTGTTTTTAAGGGGTCACAGTTGGAGTTACTATAGAGAGAAGGTGGCTGCTGTCCTTCTGGTTTATCATTGTTAGGACCTTTCTAGGAGACAATAGTTCTCATGCTTTATCAAGCATTGGAAGCAGGTGGAGGGTCTTGTTGAAATATATTGCTGTGTGCTAGTTTCTCATTCAGTAGGTCTTTAGTGGGACTTGATACTTTGCATTTTTAATAAGTTCCCAGGTTATGCTGAAGCAGCTGGTCACTCTCCTGAAAGCTACTGTTCTAGGGCAACAGGCAGATATGATTGACTTGCCATCAGGTGAAAAAGAAAACAACTCAAAATCTTGGTAACCCTCTTTGGTTTTAACTTTTTCTGACTCTCTGCATAATCTCAGTTTCTCTTTAGTTCTTCGTGCTTTTGTTCCCTTTTTGGATATACTTGAACTTCAATGGACATATGGATTCAAAACATCTGAGTTTCTAACTGTATTCTCATTGGTGTATTATCTCCTCTGTAATCCACTTCTTAACTCTGTTTCAGATTTCTGGCTCTGGTAACCTGACCTTAATATCTAAGTGTTCCTTTGCTCCTTTTCCTTGTTGTCTATATTCATTACCCTGCCTATATCCACTTTAGTGGTTTAGCAACAGATCATTTCCTCTGATTGTTTCTTGAAGCTATAGTTCAATCATATTCTATTTGAAGGGTCTGGAATGTGCAAAGATAGGGCTTCTCTTGTTGGAGCGAAATGTTAGGGTGTTGCAGGGTCTCTTGTGGATTCTCCTCTCACTTGTCTGATGTAAGAAGAGACTCTATTCCTTAGAGGTTATGGTAGAATTAACTACCATAACCATTTCCTAAAAATCTTAAGATGCTTTTGACAGCAGATAAGAGAGCTGTTTTCTGTGGATAAAAATAATACCACCCTAGTCCTAAATGATGCATGATACTGTGCGCTTGCTTATATAATCCTTTTCTCTGATATTTCCTGAAATTTTGTTTTATTCTGAACTATGGAGTAGAGATTTTTGAAGTTATTTAAGTTAGTTGAAATTGTTTTGGAGGAATCAGGGTTTTTTAAAAAGATTTATTTAAAAGATCTATTTTATTTATTTATGAATATAAGAGCTGGGGTGTAGGCCAGAGGTGGGGGAATTGTGAGAGGATTCACCAGAGACAGAGTGGGGAGCAGAACAAGTGGATTGACTTAAATACACTGCTAAGGGGAGCAGTGGGAGAGAAAGGAGAGGTCTGCTGTGCCATGTTGGTCAGCTCTCTGGCTGGGGATCGAACTTGTGCTGCAGTGGCTGTGGATAGCTTCATAGTGCTGATACTTAACTACTTGCACTACCAGGGAGGCCCAGAAAAATCAGTTTTGATTAAAAAAAAATAGCTGATATTAGCACTCTAGTTTTAAGTTTGAAATTTAATTGGAAATTCATTTAGATTTCTATGAAAAGAAACAAATATGTATGACTTATATCAACTGGATGCTTCAGGCTGCCAGTAGCAGAAACTTGAATGGAAATGTATAAATAGCAAGAAATTACCTTCTCATTGAGGAAGTCCAAATAAAGGGAGGCAAGGAAGACAGGTTCAGGGTTGATTAATTTAGTGGCTCAGTGACGATATCCAGTACCCTGATAACTTTCCATCTTTACATTCTGCCATTTTTCAGAGTCTTCTCTTATGACTGCACTTTGGCTGCCTGGAATGCTGATTCAACAGTGTCTCATGAAGAAATGGGATTCCCCCCCCCCCATACCTCTCTTTTTGTTAGCAATCCTTTAGGAATTTTCTCCTTAGGTCATATTGGTCAGGACAGGGGTGAGGGGGTCACCCGACTTTCTTAAAGCCTTTGACAGAGGAAATGAGGCCATTATGATTGGCTTAAACCAATCATGAGTCTCTTGTGGGGTCTTTTGAATACCTGCTTGCCTGATGGCAGCACAGACCTGGATTATATTAGTAAAGGAGGATAGAGGGGGCAACGTATAGGAATGGCTGCTGTCAAAGCATGGGGTGACCAATTTGCTTACATTTAAACATAAACTACTAATACTAAGCTTTAGCCACAGAATTTTTAATACTTTAATTATGTTGCTTAACTTAGCTCCAGAGTGTGTACCTAAATCATGCTGATTGTAATCAAAACTGAAAAACATTTGTGGTAAGAAAAATTCAAAGGTTTCTGGATCCTGGTTATCAAAGAATTTGATGAAAATATATATCTGTATTATTTTCATGGTTTTGAAGTATTGCATACTATTGTTTTATTCTTTCCTTAATTCTTTTAATTTTCCTCAGAAAGATTATTAGGAGAATACTAATTGTCAATCTTTGATTGAACAAAATATATTTGAGATTAATAGTTTGAATAGATGTGAGTTTTCTGGTTGTGGTACTTTCTTAGAGTGTGTAATATGATACTGTTTGGGGACACTGGGTAAAGGGTGTGTAGCAGTACAATTGCAGTTATCTCAAAATAAAAAGTTGAATTTAAAAATGGATTAAACATCATGGGGTTTAGAATAATAAAGCTTTAATTTAGAGCAGACCCAAAATCCTGTAGTCCTATGTGAATAAAGAAATGGAAGGTAAAAATTAAGAGACATGCTGCTAATGTTGGGGGAATATGATAATTATAGATAGGAACAGACCATATTACCAACCTGCCTTATTATCAAGGAGGTGTAGGTAATAAAGTAAATTAAAGCAGTACTTAAAATTACTTGCTATGGGTTATTTGCCTTGGGCCTGTGTTGGTACTGCTCTGGTTTATAGTTATTATACCAATATATAAATAGAAACTCCTAGGGCAGAGAGTGTTTTTTCATATATATATCCCCAGAGTGATTAGTACCTTGCTTTTTTGCATATAGTGTAAGCAGAGTCCTTTTCAATAGCATTCGTGGTTGTATGAATGAAACGTATTAACATACTATTTCAGTTAATACAGGCATTTTTTGTTTTGTTTTGTAAACTCTTTTCCCATTTGAGGGATACCTTAAGAACACAGTTTGTTTTATTGTTAGGAGTTTAATGATTTCAATGGTGTATCCTTAGAACAGTATGTGATTATGGATGATAACAGCTTATATTAATTTTTATTGTCATATATTATTGTTATTTTTTATTTTTTATTTTATATATTTTTACATTATTTTTCATTTTTGCACAATGTATGCATTTTCATCTTGGTTATATTCCCCATACAGTTCCCACCCCCCTTATTTTGACCCTAATCCCTCCTCCTGTCCCCCGCCCTGTAGTGTCTCTCGTTTATAGTTGCTTGTTGATTTTGATTTTTACTTTATTATAATTATTCTTTTTCCTGGTCCCTTATTTAGGTTTTCTAAATTCCTGCTATGAGTAAGACCATCTGGCCTTATTTTTGATGGGCAGTGCAAATAATTGTTGAGCAACATCTCTAGATAAAATTGTGAATTTTTTGGTGGAACTGATTTCCTAAAACAAGAAAAAGTTAAAAAAAAAAAAACCATAGCTAAAAAGATAATAGTTTAGAATGTATTTTTAATAACTATTTCGTAAATCTTGATGAACTTAAAAAATGAATTTGTACTCCTTTGTGAGCTAGAAAGTAAGAGATGAATGTTTTCAGTTGAGTTGATATTCTTTCTGTGTGGGCTTTGGTCTTGAACAGGTGTATTACCTGACTGCTTAACAGATGGTACTGATGTGGTCAGTGACCTTGAACAAGAAGAAATGAAAATCCTGAGGGAAGTTCTAAGGTATTCTTAATTTTTGTATGGATCATTAGTAATATTGTAACGTGATCTGTATATATATACTTTTTACTCCCAGAATATTATAAACTGGTAAATTTAAATTCTCTACTGAAGACCATGAAAAATAATTGACGTTTTTATTTCTCATTTCTGTTTTTATATTTCTACACTTGATCTTAGCCAAAAGGCTTAAAAGCAATTACTACATATATATTTCTTAATGGACAGAAAAAATTATTTTCAGATGACTCATACCAGATCAGCCCAAATGGGAGCTACTCCCATAATGGGAAGAGGATACTGGCCACCAATGGAACAAGTTGCAGTAGTCACAGCCTGCTCCCAGAGGGGAGTGTAGTGGCCTGAGCTGACCAGGAAGCTTCATGGCTTCTGGATCTTGGTATTAGAGGTGGCTCAAGCCACGTGTTCCACAGTAGGTAACTGGACATGTAGACAACACAGACTGAAGCGCTTGAAGGGGGGACAGATAACCTCCAGGGTAAAGAGGACAGCCTCTATCCCAGATTACTGTATTACCATCTCTTCCTTGCTTCAGATACATGGTTCTCAGATGAATGCTGGCATGAAGTTTGCAGGGTTGTTTCTTTTCCCCTTAGGCCTGTAGGAGTCTCCTTCTACTTGTAGTTTTGGAAGGGAAGAATGATTGAAACACCTAATTTTAAAGCCTCCTGTGAGAATATATATATTTAGTGCAATAGGAGACCTGCAGCCATTATATCACCTGCAGAATGGGGCCTAGGCTTTTGGGGACCCACCTTTTTTGGTATCCTGTCATCCCTGACCTACCTACCAGCTCCCCAACTCCAAAGGAGAAAGAGAAGATAGATAGCATGATGGTTAGGAGGATGGGCCTTGCAGGGAACTATAGAAGGAGCTCTAGGACTTGGTGCTAATTTCAGGGGATTTGAGTGGTTGGGAGGAGAGAGACTGTGTGGATGTGTTTGTGTGGATGTGTGTGTGTGTGCTTTCTAGATGCCACTGGAAAAGTTAGAATGAGGGTAGATATGGATCAGGAGGATTATAACTGATATCTCTTACAAAAGAGAGAACATTCTGTATTAATAGGATTTGCCATTCAAATTTGGGTTTAGGATTTCAGACCTGTTGGTTTTGTTCAGCTAGGGATCATTCACATTTCCAGAAGAAATTAGTAACCCTGAATTTATGTTACTGACTACATTATGCTGTATATGACTACATATGTCATTCCCAGCTTATTGTAAACCTCTTTAAGCAAAGCCTGGTATTTTTCATCTTTGTTTCTAAAATTCCTTGCACATAGTATAAGCTTTGGTTAGCATATTGCTTGGATGAGTATTTGTCCTTTGATTAAATAATGAAAATTTACTTTCTACTATATTTCTGTGTATTTCAGAAAATCAAAAGAAGAATATGACCAGGAAGAAGAAAGAAAGAGAAAAAAGCAGGTACCTACAGAACATATTAATATACACAGCAGAAATATTTTATGCTATTATGTCTTAAATTTATACCTAGGTTTTGCTTTGAAATTTAAGCTTATGTGGAACTATATAGCTATTCAGAGAATTCAGTTTTTCTTGGCAATTTTAACATTTTTACTTAACTTTATGTGTCTTATAATTTATCCAGCAACCTACCTTTAAAATTCCCCGTGAAGACCAAGACTATTAACTCCAAAAAATTGTAATACCATATAAAAATTCCCCTTAACTTTATGCATGAAAGAAGATTATGAAAAACTGTTTTATTCTCCTGACTTATTTACTGTTTTTGAAACAGCAACGGTAGTTACTACTGATGGTCCCTTGCAGACTTTACCATTATCAGCTTGCAACAGATTAATTCTGTATTATGTTTCTTTGCTTACTGTTCTTCCATTAAAAACTATTTCCATAAAGTTCCTGATTGTTCCTAAGGATAAATTAAACTTCTATCTGGTTGGGGTGAAGGAAGTAATACTTATTTTTGTCTTTCCCCTTGTCTAGCTGCTTCTCCCTCCACATTTTCCCAAATCTCTCTGAAGGGAAATGGAGACCTAATATAAACTTAATCACTTGAAAGTTGTTTTCTATTTTTCCCCTTCCATCACTATAACACATGCTTGTATCAGTCACTCTCTTTGAAAGGCCTATTTTACCACAAGGTACCCAATGAAGAGTAGAAGAAAACATGTTTTAGGATTAAGAACTGATTTATGTATCTCTGGGTAAATCAAAAACTGGCAATAGATGTGAAATTCATAGATAGTAATATTGTTTCATGTAAGGGTATAGACCAGAAACCAGTTAAAAAATGCGATCAGAAAACATTTATATTAACTCCCTGATTTATAAGCAAACAATATTAGGCTTCTTAAATAATACTATGTTATTATGTTTTAGGGGTATTATGTTTTGGGATTTTAAGACTTTTTATTATGGACATTTTCAAATACTCAAAAGGAGAGCTGAAAGTAATAATGAGTCCTCATGTATTCATCACTCAGCTTATGGGGGCTTATAAATTATCTATAAACTACAGGCAATTAGATTTTCCATTTTTTTTAGGATAATGCATTGATATCAGTTTACTTAACTTTTTCTATAACTTAAGTTCTTTGATCTAAATATACTATGCTGTTTCAGAAATGGGAATAAAGCAATGTGTGACCTCTTCAGGCATATCAAAAGAGTGGCATATAGATTATTTTATGTGGAAAATCACATTCTAATTCAGAGTATTTTTTGGTATTTTGCTCAAGGTCACAGGGCAGTAAGGGTGAAGCCTGAGTTTAAACCCACTTCTTGCTAAGACCAAAGTCCTAATCCTACCAGTGTAGTTACTCTTGTTACCATGAAATGAGAATGTTTAAACCTACCTCAAAAAGTAGAAGATACTAAGTGCTGAAACCATCTTAAAAATTTTGAAAAAATAGTCTCTGGTTCATTATTTAGTAGACAGCAATTTTTTTCCAACTAATTGTCTTTGAATCCTTTAAGTCAAAATTAATAATTTCTTTTTTTAAATTGTATTCTGGATTCCTGAAGTTATCAGCGGATAAACCAGAAGAACCACCAGTGCATACCAGTGAAACTGCAAAAATGAGTAATTCACAAGGGGATGGCGAACATTTTGCCCACCCACCTTCAGGTAAGGTTAAAGTATACTGAGATTTCTTTAATAATATAATTACATTAATGTTGTATTGGGTGTGTTAATTTCTCATATATACTTAGCCTTTACAAACCCAGGGAGAGAGTATTGACTAACCACTGACCATTTAAAGTTCTTTGTGAATTTAACTGAAGAGGATGCAGGTAGCATATAGACAGCTGACACAGTGAGTGGTATCTAAATTTCTTAGTGAAACCAGGAACCCAAAGTAGTGAACAAAATTCCTAGAGGGAGCTGCCAGCCTTTGTGCCATGGCCATAGCATACAAGATATGTTCATGTAGCACTTGGGATATGACCGTCTCTGAGTGGAGTTTGTGAGTGAGAAGTTTAACCTGCAAAGAAATTACTCTCCTGATGACTTAAAGCACAGCTAGAAAAGAAGAGGTTGTCAGTTGAGCCAAATGTCTAGAGAGAATCTACCAAAAAGCGATGAGAATCCTTGCAGTTAATGTTACTGGACGAACTTGTTCAACATGTGGCAAATTCACTTTCCGTCTACTCCGATTTGTAAGAAAATAAAAGAAGAAAAAATTTAAAAAACAGAAATTGAAGTATAACATGAATTCATGTCATCATAGATTTCTATGGTGTTAAATAATCATCCTTTTCTTAAAAAAAAAAAACGTGTAACTGTCAAATTAATTGAACTATCACTTTTCCAACTCTACGGTTTCACATTTGGGAGTCAAGCCACTTCTGTAAAGTCATCATCAGCAATTAGGAGCCATGTTTAACTGTTATCTACTGTAGTTGCCACATAATGTATCCAAGTTCATCTTTCTTTCTTTCTTTCTTTTTTTTTAAAGGTTAACAAAAGGTTTATTTACAAGGGAAGGGGAATGAGGAAATGTACAACTCAGGGAGAAAAGAGGGAGATAAATTCTTTTTTCTTTTAATCTTGTCTTTTTTTTTTTTTTAAGATTTATTTTATTTATACAAGAGCCAGAGTGGGCCAGATGCGCGGGAGGGTGAGAGAATTCACCAGAGACAGAGCGGGGAACAGAACAGGCAGACTGACGAAACACACTGCTGAGGGGAGCAGTGGGCGAGACAGGAGAGGTCTGCCGCGCCATGTGGGACCCTCACCGGCTGGCCGGGATCGAACCCGTGCTGCAGAGCCTGTGGACAGCTTCACAGCGCAGCACTCAACTGCCTGTGCCACCAGGGAGGCCCAGGATTAAATTCTTAAATGTGTCCTACCCGTTCCTCCAACTTGGAATCCCAAATGACCTGTCATCTTCATTTCTGTTTAAGTTAGTTTGTAGCTTTCTGTATAGGTTGCTTTGTCACTGTCCAGCAGCCTGAAGAGTTTTCCTTCTTCTGTCCTACAAGGCATTAGTCACTCCACCCCTCTCATGCTAGAATAATGGACTTGACATTGTAAAGTTTCTTAAGAGTTTGATTTCTGCTTTTACTGTGCAAGTTTTTTTTGTTTTTTTTTTTTTATCATTTGAAGATACATGTATCATGTTCTCCCATTATGCTTTTAATTCTTGGCATCATTTTTGTTTTTGCTTTTCTCACTCTGCTATATTGCATAGTCCATGTACCCACTGAAAGTGTTTTATCTTTAAAAAAAAAATGCTTTATAAAAAATAGCTCAGAGGGGCCTCCCTGGTGGTGCAGGGAGTTAAGTCTCAACACTATGAAGCTATCAGCAACGACTGCAGCATGAGTTTGAGCCCCCCGGCCAGGGAGCTAACCCACATGGTGCAGCCGACCTCTCCTTTCTCACCTGCTGCTCCCCTCAGCAGTGTATTTCAGTAGATCTGACTGTTCTGTTCCCCACTCAGTCTCTGATGAATCCTCTTACCCGCTGTCCCTCTGGCCTATACCCTAGCTCTTGTTTGCATACATAAATAAAATAAATCTTTTTAGAAAAATGGCTCAGAGGAGTAATCAACATGTAAATCCTGTCTTTTGGCACAATCACTGAATAGCTGGAAAGTACTCAGTGCTCATGTTGTATCTGCCTCCAAGTTCTACTTTGAAATCTTTACATTTTCTTAATGTATTGGTAGGTTCAGAGTTATCTTCAATATGCAATTACAAGTAAAAATTATTGATATTACTGGCACTTATGCTTCCGGTACTGAAAATTGCAGCTTTATATACAGGGTCAATTATAGTTTTTACCTGCAAACAAGTTTGAAAACCAACTACTAGTAGGGGATTACTGTTTATTTTTTTTAATGTGGCAACCTTATATCATTATAGTATTGTTCTAATCTTTTTATACCTTACAAACAGCAGGAACTTTGTGTTTGTTGAAATATAATTAAAAACTAGTTAAAGCTTCTTGAGGACAGACATCAAGTTTATTATTCCCACCTGGCACAGTGTTGGCACTTTGTATTGATGGAATGAATAGGAGAAAAGAAATTAATACTCATTTGATGAGCCTCACCTAATACCTAATATTCCTTATAGCATTCTAATTGGTCTCTATCTAATTACTGCCAGAAATTAAAGTACATTTTGGTAATCAGTCAGTACAACCTTTGGCAAGAAAGTTGGAAATGTTGCCTGAAACGTCCTCCCTCCCTGAAAAAGGCCTGAAGATTCCTAGCTTAGAACATGCGAACATTGAAGGACCAATAACAGTAAGTAAATGATATATTTTTTTAAAGAACTATGAGCGAAATGATGAACTGGGAACAACAGGATAGACATTTTGTTATGATCTTAAATTCAAACTTTAAATTGAATCAGTCAGTGGGTATCTGTGTCATTTATTAGGCAGACTTGAAACTGAATAATTCCTTGTCTTTTTTGACTTAGAATTTATCTTCACTTGGAACAGAAGAGCTCAGACAGCGAGAACACTATCTCAAAAAGAAGAGAGATAAGTTGATGTCCATGAGAAAGGATATGAGAACTAAGCAGATACAAAATTCAGAGCAGAAAGAAAAACCTGCTGAGGAGGTAGAGGTATGGCTGGCCTTAGTATGTCAAAATCTACATATCTAAAGTTGGAGTCTCAAAATCAGAACAATAAAGCCTCCAAATAGAATATTGCTTGTAGATCTATTCTCATTAACCTCCCTGTAAACATAGCAACTGCTAAGTCTTTTCTAGGCAATGAGATGGTTGTGATGAGGATTTTGTCAGGTGGAAATGAAAGCAGTTTCATTGAACATGTTTTTCTTAAGCAAGAGACAGCTGCCTATTTTATCTGATGCTTTGGAATGGTTTTATCACATAGCAGCATTAGTGCCCTAGCCACCACGTCCAAGACTTTCCTAAGAAGAGATTTTTACAGTTTATGTGTGACTTTAAAATTATTTACTAAAATGCGCTTGTGTTGAGAATTTTAAATATGAACCCAGTTTATACTATAGCCAATTTTCTTTTTCTTTTTTTTTTTTTTTTAAGGAAATGACAGAGAAACCAGAAATGACAGCAGAGGAGAAGCAGACATTAATAAAGAGGAGATTACTTGCAGAGAAACTTAAAGAAGAAGTTATTAATAAGTAACAATGTAGCAAAACAAAAATTCAGATTTTCCTAAAAATAAATTATTTAATCCTTACACTAAGCTTGTTAGTTGCAAATACTTTCGCTATGAGCTTATATATCATTACTGTTTGAACATCTGAGCTGAAGGGTGGTGGGGAAGGCAGCTCATGTTGACCAGCTTAATATGTCTCTTGGAGAGAGGGCATAGGAAACTAACCAGTAGTGCATTCATTCATTCAGACTTGGTTATACCTATTTATGGTAAGCATTATGTTAGGTGCCAAAAATACAACTGTCAACTAGATACTCAGGGTTCTGCCTTCCTGAGGCTAGTCAAAAAGACCCAAAGAGCAAACTGGTAGAAAGAAAGTGGTGTTATAAGCAAGGCTCACCAAATCTTGTGAAAGCATTGTTTAAAGCTGATTGGAAGGTTAAGTACAGGTAGAAAGGGGAGGAACAAGCAAGGCCTGCCCAGACTGTTCTAGAATAAAGCACCTGCTGAGAAGCTGGCATTATGGCTGGAGTATATGTAGAATGAGGGGAGTGTTAGCAAAAATTAACTTTGGGGGTACTAATTTTCAGGGCCTTGTAGGGTAGGTGAGAATTTAAAATTTTACAATGTCAGTGGGGACTCACTGACTTTATACAGCAGCGGAGTTACATTTCCATTTACAAAAGCTCTGTGGCTGCAGTATGGAGATGTTTGGGTTAGAGTGACTGTGGGTCTATAAGGAAATCCAGTCAAGAGTATCTGAGGAGGCAGTAAAATGGATTTTAGAATTTTGCGTTTGAGGCAGGAGCAAACAAGACTTTATAGATAGTGGGGTATGTTAAAAATAGTTGCTCTTCCTAGAAAAGCTACCGTTAAAATTGATAGAGGGAAAAATTGATGGCACCCATTTAAGGGAATGCTGCTGTGGGCATAGGTCTTTTTTATATGATCTTGCATCCTGAGTTCTCTGTAGTCTGATTCAAGATAATCAGAATAGGAAACCTTTTTTTCAGGAACTTCCTGTGTTTTCTTTCCACCAGCACCCCCTTTCCTTTCGTCATGGGCCTCTTAAGGTTTAACTTCATTTCATTTCCTTAAATCTAAAAACTTTTAAAAAGGAATACCAAAATTAAGTTTAGCACCAACATTCAACCTGCAGAGAGAAACCAGGATTACTTTGTATTTAACATTTTTGTTTACTTAGATTAACAAGAGGAACAACTAGTGATTAAAACACAGAAATCTGTTTCATGTAACTTTTTATTAAAAATATTTTTTGTATTGGATACATGTTTACAGATATAATTTTAAGAGAACCTCAGGCATACAAATGTGGGCTCTGGCTTCACTGAATGAAGATAAGATATAAAAAAAAAAATCCTGATCTGCCTGAGGGCAGTCATTTAAGACAGCAGCTAATGTGTAATCTTCATAGTTGTTCTTTTCAAGGGATATTTTAAGTATTGTCCGTCTATCGTTGTGGGTGAGCACATGTATCATGAAAATTACTGTCATTCAAGAAAACATTCACATTTCTGCTATAGGGAGAGTTCCCTATGATGATTTAAATGTTTAAGACTTAACGGCAGCTACTCAAGAAAATTAAAAGAAACTAAGGTAGAAAATACTTCCTACTGAAACTTAAAATTAATTGGGGAGAGCTGTAAAATTAATCAGGGAGAGCCGAGTGAACCAAATGCTGCAGGTCTGGGCTTCTTAGATTACAGGAAGAAATTTACTAAGAGCTAAGAAGAATGGATGGGCTTGATAAAACTTACTTGAAAGAAAATGTGTTTGTAGGGGACCCTTACTGATCTTGGTTTAAAATATCCTGAGTCACTTGCTTATGAGATGGAAGGTCTTTTTCATTGTATGTACCTTTAATCAAAGACATGAAAACAGCTCCATGCTATGATGCTTTGGTGTTGAGACTTTATTTGTTGAAGGCACATCCTCTCTAAGTAGAGTCAGTGATATTTAAAGTGCAGTTGACCCGCATTTGTTTAGAAATTCTTTCATTCAGTCTGGTGTATGACCTACTGGCTTATAATAAATATCTGTGGATAATTTACTGGCTTTAAAAAGATACGTAAAATGGACACATCTCAAAATGGAATATAACTTATATTTACAACAAACCAAACAAAGCAACAATCATAGAATTACAGGGTCACATTTTAATTCCTGAATTTTACAGTTCAGCATTAATATCACCACATGTATACAAATGGTGTAAAACAAGTACAGTGGTATTTTTAATACAAAATAAACATCTGTTTTATGGAAAAACTATACTTCATATCTACACAGACAGCCCATCTTTTCCAAACAATAGCCAAATTAAAACTAACTACAAAATCTCCAAAACAGGGAAACTGCTTCAGTTTAAGCTATTCCAGGAAAAATGGACCCATAACACATTACAAGGGTGATCTGAAGATTGTAGCTGGAATTACTATTCTTAGTCTTTTTTTTTTCCCCAATGCATTGAAGTATAGCTTGGGGGATGTTATTTCCACTTCAGCCTTATTTCAGATCATAGATGAGCAAACTAACATTAAAATATTTACAGTTAACTTGCTGTTCTAAAAATAAAACCTTTTAACTGTTTGCCTCAATTTATTATTGTAAATTCATTTACGTACATGGAATGTGCTTTTACTCTTTTAAAAAAGCAGCTTTTATATTACACCCTTGTTTATTTACGGAAAAGCTTTATGTGCTGCATACTGACTTTGACACTGAAGTAACTTCTTGGATCAAAATGGTCTCTATATATTAAATGTCACTTAATTCAGCACTATTCTTTGTATGTTAGTTTTATAAATTGCACTTTAAAACTTGCCTGCAGCTCTGAGAGAGGACTTTAATAACAAAGCAGAAAAGTGACTTCAAAGTATCTTCCACAAGAGACAGTACTGGTAGGAAGTTGAAAACTTTCTGTTCAATACATTCTCAAGATTTTAGAGATCATTTCTGAATGCTACTGTACTGATTCTTGGCATCTATTATCCCTAAGAGTGCCGATTTAATACTAACAAAACTGTCCATTTTGAATCCAGCTTGTTTGTTTTCTTCAAAAGACACACCAAAAATTCCTGGTGTAGAAACACAACATGTGCTGTACTACAGGGAGTTCTTTACTCCACTGCCTATTAGGCTGCATTTCTGTTAAATCTTTAAAGAAATGGTCCCAACAGTTTAACTTAATTTTTTATGATAGCTGAGTTTGTTTTCCATAAAAATTTCTTTTAAAAAGAGGCAACTGATTAAAAGAACAACATGGCCAGCACCATTATACAAGTAATGTTATTGGGTTTGCAACTGAAGTTTTATAATTGTTTCTATTTCAGGTACCCCCCAGAGCAACCCTGCATTAATATTCTATCAACCATGTCCCTCCCCCAAACTGTCCCCAAACCTGAGAGTTTCCCTGCTAAGAAGCTATCTCCCAGGTTCTGGTTACTAACCTTGTTTGGACAGCCTGAAAGGCAAACCCCTTAATTACTAGCAAGTGGATCAATTTCCTGGGAAGCCTGTTTTTTTGTTTTGTTTTGTTTTTATAGAACTAAACTCTCCTAGCTGATGTATTGGGCATCTTTCGCTGCTCCTTGTATATTTATAAGTTCAAGTGAGAAAGCTTTCTGATTCAGATTTTCAGCTCTTGAATAGTTGCAGCATTTTAGTAAGACCACATGTTGAGGGTCCCCAGTAAATATCTTATGAACCAAGGCGAGGTCTTTTCCTGGGGGATGTTTCTTCTTCTTCATCTTCCTCTTCATCATCTGGATAGTCCACTAAACCAACCAAACTTCCCTGTTGAATAAGAAAAAAATTGAATATATGTAACAAAAACAGAAAAAGTGTATCAGTATGAAGTCATTCAGAAAAGATTGGAAATTATTTTTCTAAATTATGTTAACCATATATATCTGAAACTAACTGATGAGTCTGAGAAATGAACCACTTTCTGGGTACCATCGATGGTCTTTAGTTACCCTCAACTTTTCAAATTGGCACTTGGACTTCTAATATTTATAAATTTCAGTTCAGAAAAATTTCACTGTGGAAAAAGAAATGTATTTCCAAACAGCAGGACTCAATTACTACATGAAGCTGGAAAGGGTCTCAGAGACAAACTTGTTCTTTTCTCTAATTGTACACTAATAGCTTATCAATGACAAGAAACTTTCTATTACTCTGTTCCTCATGTACACTTTCCATCACTGAGCACATCATTGCTTTTGTTCTTTTAAAGAATAGTTTTAAATGGTCTAATGAAACAAGTCTTAAAAACTAATGACTACAAAATTTAGGGCTCGCCTCTCTATCCAAAAGTGAGGATGAAGCAATTCATTTTATGAGTTAATGGAAAATCCTATTATAAAGTGCTGGACACTATGCAGAAAATTACACTTCCTCATGTTTGCATTTACTTTGAAACAATCTCATGAAATTTAGTCACATATGTTACAGGTTAAAAGGGCTACTGTAAATCTTTTAGGATTCAAGTGGATAAATACAATTGAAATAACTTATATTTCATACCTCAGTAACTTTTACCTAAAGGTTCCATGCATCTGGTATTAACACTTTACCTTAATATATCTGAAACACTGTAATATTAATCAACAAAGGCCTTCTGTGTAGATATCAACAGTTATCAGAACAACTTTGAACTAAATAAAATGAGAGAATTTAGCTTTTTTGCTAAGCCTAACAACAGGCCTTAAATCTGGTAAGAGGCAATATGGCTATAATGTTAAAACACTGTTGACTGTACCTGACTTTAAATTCTAATGCTTCTTATTAGGCACATAACAGTTTCCTATCTGTAAAATTGGTGGTGTAACTACAGTACTTAGACCTCATTTAACTATTTTGAAAATTAAACTGAAAAAATATGTAAATTAAAGCTCGTGATTAAGTGCTGGGGATGTTGAAGAGTTAAAATATTGCTATTAGCAATTACTATAATTATTTTTATTTATTTGGTTTCTAAGCCAAGAGGAGAGAGAAGACAAGTTGGACAAGAGGAGAAAGAAGACATAATTACAGTATAAAAAGGCACCAGACTGATATTCA